TGTCGCATTGTCTGGAGCCAATGGGCGGGCGCACCGACAAACTAGTCAGGCGGGCATGACGCCAGGAGAGCGCACGCGGCACCAACACGCTTCGGCCATTTTTCTTCTTTTATTCGAACAAAAGCGATCAGTCGATATCTCTCGATCTCTTCTGGAAAGCAGTCACTCCGTTTTCCTGCTTTATTTATGGGAACGACCGGCGATCAACAGGACCCGCGCTGGTCGCTTCGAGCGCCGCGTCGGATTCACACATGATTCGCCGCTAATTCCCGCTGCAAAATGCGTCAAGTGAATCTCCTCTTCCGCCAGCGATTGGGCCGTTCGTCATCCCCAAATCCATTTCGCTCAACGGGGAGGACGCCGTCGTATACAAGGCTCTTTATCGGCCGTCGGGGATGGGGCCGCCGCGGCCGCTTTGGAAGCGCGCAGAGAGGGTGCCGGGGATGAGTAACCACATCACTGCCACGTATCAGACTCTTTCAATCTGTTCCCTGTGTATATCATGTAACACACAGCCAACACAACATGAACAACACATCACTAACGTTTTTAGTCTAGAGTGAGGCAGCGCACACACAACACACACAAACAAATAATTATCATATATATATCATATATATATATCATATATTATAATATGTACATATATACAATGGATAAATACATGTTATATAAATAATATATAATATACATATATATATGTAATATAATGTATATATATATATATAGTATATAATAACTATATAATATTTGCATATATGAGTATATATTATACATATATATATATATATATACTATATAGAATACTATAGTAGTATATCAGAGATAGTGATAGATGATAGTCTTAATAGGTATATATCTGTGGTGCTGGTGGTTGTGTGTCCGTGTGTCGTGGTGTGTATGTGTGTGTGTGTGTGTGAGTGTGTGTGTATCGTATGTATTGTAGATCCATATATGTATAATATAGGTATACACAGCACAACACACACACACACACACACATCACGACCACACAACACACAGACACACACACACCACA